CCCTGAGTCCCCTCAGGGAAAAGGGCGGCCTACAAATGTTAATAAAATCAAAATCAAAATCAGATGGGCCGGGAACAAAGCAGGCTCTGACAATGAACCATTTATATTAATTTCGGTTTAGATTGCATAGATGCCCTGCAATAGAAGGCTTACGTTTGGCAAGACAACTGGTGATATCATTTTGACAACCATTGTTCTCTAATTATTTATTATTGACAGTCCCTTCTCTAATGTTCAGGGTATAGAAAACTGATGTAATTGCCGATAGGATATTTACTAAAAAAAATTACTGTGTTTTGCATTTATGCAAGCACCGTCAAATATTCAGTGAAATTCACTTAATATCTGATTATCGCCAAAAGATACATACAAGGACACATACTTTTTGTTACACAAGTATTATATAGAAAGTGTGATTGTACATGTTATGGATCAATTTCATTTAATTGCTTAAAAGTAATCATTAATTTATTTATTCATTAGAGATGTACACAATGTACATCTATTATTTCTTAATGATTATTGGTCTGGATATAATGCCTCATTTCTAACCATGATTCATCCACCAAAAATGTGTGCAGTTTAATGTTTTAGGATACAATAAAAAACAATTTTATTACATTTTTAGAATTGGAAAATTGTGTAGTAGTCTTGTATTTATAAAAAAATGACAAAGAATATACTTTTAAAATTTATTTAATAAAATTAAAGTAACCTTCAAAGCACATAAAACTACTAACATGACTGCTATCCATGTGAATCAGATTATATGGAATTCAATTAAAACTGCTGAAAAACAGCTGCATGATGAATATACACAATATAATTGCTAAGAATGTTTTCAGTGACAACCATGGGGATATACAAAATGGATGGGTTTTCTAAACAGCATGTTGTCAGACCTGGAAGGCATCTTTTACTTATCCTAAATTCTAATATGAAGTAATAGATCCCAATTTTCCAGATAAATGTACTAATCATACCATGGTGTAGAATGTATTGGAACTTTTAACCTTGTAGCTTAATTCTTATACAATTACATAAGATGACTTTAGAAATGCATATTATTTTGGAAAATACATTTACATTACATGCTTCAAAGTTACAGATAATAAGAGACAAAGAGGCATACTGTAAGTAGAAACAAATATCAAGGAATACTTCCATCCCAACACAGTTCAGAAGGATACTAGAGTAAGAATACCTCGCTTACTTTGAATTCTTTCCCACAATTATAGAAGACTCGATGATGTTGTTATCCCCTCATATCAGAGCATAATTTCACTGTTACAGTTGAAGATTTGGTAGAAATAGCATCTCACATCCTTACTGTATCATTAATTATTTTTATCTCATTGGTGATATTGTGATGATTTTAAATCAAAAATTATGAATATTGTTTTTTCGGTAAAGAATGGGCCTAATCTTTCCAAATAGTTTCTCTAGACCAGATCTGATCTCTTTGTTTTTCAGGCTGTAGATGATGGGGTTTAACATAGGAGTTAAAATGCTATATTGAATAGAGATTATTTTGTCCAGATCCATAAATGATTCTGTACTTGGCTTCACATAGCGAATCAAACCTGAAATGTAAAATAAGCCCAGAACAATAAGATGGGAACTGCATGTGGAAAAAGCTTTATGCCTGCCTTCTGCTGATTTAATTTTCAGAATAGTTAAAATGATGTAAATATAAGAAACAAGTGTGATGAGAAATGAGCCAAAAGTAAATACCATCACAGATGCTAGTAGAATAATATAATTTGTGAAGGTATTTCCACAAGACAATGCCAAGACAGAAGGAAGCTCACAAGTATAATGTCTGATTATATTGTTGCCACAAAAATGAAGATTTAGCAAGGGTAGTATATTCAGTATAGCACAAAATAATCCAAGAAGCCAAACTCCACCCACAATTTTAATGCATATATCTTTTGTCAAGAATCTGCTGTAATTCAGGGGGTCACATATAGCAACATATCGGTCATAACCCATTGCTGAGAGGATGAATATTTCAGTGCAAACAATTTGGAAAAAGAAGGCAATCTGTGCAATGCATCCTTCCCAAGAAATGGTTTTCTGCTTTGTAATAAAATTTACCAGCATCTTAGGAACAGTGACTGAGGAATAGCAGATGTCAACAAAAGCTAAATGGCTGAGAAAGAAGAACATGGGGGTCTGAAGGTGAAGCTCAGACCTGATCACTAATATAACACTTATATTTCCTAGGATAGTGATTACAAATATGATCATGATCAAAAAAAGAAGAACATGCTCTATGTGTGGGTCATCTGAGAGTCCCATCAAAATAAACTCTATTATTGCAGTTTGATTTTCTAGTTGAGTTGAATTGAAAACCATGTGATCTGTTAGAAAAGGAAACAAAAAATTAAAATGTTTACTGAACATTGAACGCTATATGGGAATTCATTATACTGGGTTTCCTATTTTTCTTTCTTTCATAAGCAGGCCAACTTAAGTGTTGTTTTTTTCATTTTCCTAGCATCTTTGGCTATTTTCCTGCAATTTTAATTCATTAATTATTTTAAAATATGTACTTGTTCTTAGTATCATTTGCATATCCAGATGTGCTTTTATAATGTAAGGCATTCTTCTTGATTACTGCGTTGAAAGTTAAGTTCTTTGCATGATAAATGTTTTGTTTGAATTATTTTTTATTAGATAAAATATATTATATCAACAAAAACTTGGTTTTAAGGAAAAGATTGATACATATTACTACAAATATCTGTACAGATTGCAGAGATTTCAAGATATTGAAACATGAAATGTTAAAGTTTTCATTTTGATAGACTTGGCTCCCTGCCCTGCATATTTTGGCTTTTTGTTTTTATGACTTCCCACACCAGTAAGAATTTGGACTATTGAATCTGTATATATAAAGAAGTTATCTGCTGTGAAAAATTGAAAAAGAAAACATTAATATTTGGAGATTATATATATATACATACATTTATATGCTATCTACATTATCTTTGATTTTTGTAAAAGGGGAGATTGTGTGACAATTAAGATTAACCCTTTTTAATCAGAATAAATTTACATGTAACTCAAAGTTTAAAAAACACTGAATATTAAAATTGAACAGAATTAATCTTAATAATCCTCTAAAAGAAATCTGTGTTCAGTCATGACCTATATACAACAGCCAAATACTCAAATGTAATATTGCAATTCAAATTAGGTTTGATTGAAAGAATATTTTGAGAAAGATTTTCCATATTTCCCTGAGTCATCTGTCCTTAATTCTAAGTGGTAAGAGAAGACCCAACTTATATTAGAGAACTGACTTCTTCATAAAACTAGTTTCTTTTTCTCTTAATTCACATTCCATATTAGATATGCATTTACCTTGTAAGAAGTAGTTCTGATGCAGTGGAGAAATACTCTCTTTTACAGCCTCATCTAAAAGTACAAAAGGCTTTCTTTGAGCAAAAATGGATTTGTTCGTACTATTATTTGTTCTAGAATTCAGGGCAGAGGAAACCAGTTGGGGATTGATCATCCCCAGGTAAAATGCCCGAAGGATAGATATATCAAAGATATTTTGCTTTGCTATTTTTTCTTTTTTAATTTAAAGTCATTCAAAATATATTTGATTTGTTATTGTTATGGTTTTCAAATCTACACATTAAAAAGAATAGTAAATGAAAGTAAAGCATATTTCTGAATTAAACCAAATTACTTTCAATCTCCCCAAAAGCAAAGGCACAAAAAATAGTGAAGGATAATCATAATTTAGTCATACCAAAATTGATAATACTTTTGAGTAAGTCCAGCATGAGTCAGGAATGGGTTCATATTACTCAACCCTCATACTACCACCGGCACTCAATTAAGGCACCCAATTAGAATCTGGGAAACCATGAGTTCTAGTTCTACCTTCCGCAGCAAAACAGTCTAACTTCAGTACTACCAGGTAAACCAGATAAGAAACATGATTGGATAAGTTTTATTAATAAATTTTACTTTATTGTAAGACTACATTAATAGTCTCTTGCAAGTGATGTAGGATTTCCTGCCTAATCAGGGGGTTGGACTAGAAGACCTCCAAGGTCCCTTCCAACTCTGTTATTTTATAACATTTGTAAGGGACATTAGAGGTCTTCTTGCCCAAGCAACTTAGGTAGGAAACCTTATACCATTTCAGACAAATGGTTATCCAACGTCTTCTTAAAAACTTCTGGTGCTAATCTAAGTTTTTGTTTTGTTTATGTGTATATGTGTTTAAAATAAAATTTGTAAAAAGAAAAAATTCTTGTGTTGGAGTATGCACAACTTTTGGAGGCAAGTCACTCCACTGATAAATTGTACTGTTAGGTATTGTCTCCTTAATTCTAGGTTGTTTCTTTCCTTGATTAGTTTGTACCATTGCTTTGTGTTTTGCTTTTAGGTGCTTTCGAGAATAGGTTGACATTTTTTGTGGCTGAAAGTCTGAAAGTCCTATCTGCCACTTTTAATTGCTTGATCCATTGAGATGGGTTGGTTCTTAATGTCTTTTTGTAACCATTACATGACTGTGGGGTCCTACCCATTTGCCTGATTATTTTTTAGGCAGCATCATTTCTTATCTTTCTCAATTTCATTACATGCAGAGGCTTAGGGACAGTCAATCATTCTCAGCAGTAGGAAGAAGAAAATTTCAAATAACTTTTGAAATAATACCAAGAAAACTGCAAGGATCAGTCTGGGCAGTCACCAAATATCAACACTGACTTGAAGACACACAGAGATGCAAAGTCCAAACTATTTGAGAAATTTACTCTTGAATTTCTTTAACATCATTTTCATATATGAGTTCTGCTTCTCCATATTGTTATGGAGATTCATGATTTGTCAAGATTTGTACAAATGGGATTATTCCAGTTAAAGGTACATTAGAGGAATAAATTGGGTAACCCAATCCAGCATAACATTCTTCTGTGTGACACTATTTTGTTTCCTTCGCATTATGCCTTTCTATTACAGCAGGGTGCAACAAGAAATCCTCACACCCTCATATAAGAGCATAACTCTAATGTTGAGGCCTTGGGAAAGTAGCAACAGTCATTCCTGCTATCTCATTATTTCTTTTCATTATCGGAGCTGTTGGGCTTTTATGTCAAGAGCAGCCAATACTTTTTAATGACTAAAATGGGCCTGTAGTTTATAAATAGTTGTTTTACACCAGAATGATATCTTTGTTTTTCAGGCTGTATATGATTGGATTTAACATGGGTGTTAAAATGCTATATTGAATAAAGATCACTTTGCTAGATCCATGAATGATTCCAAAGTTGACTTCATATAGCGAATTAAAGCTGTAATGCAAAATGGTTCTTTGCTTTTTTATGAGGTTTGCCAGCATTTTGGGAACAGTGACAGAAGAATAGCAGATGTCAACAAAAGCTAAATGGCTGAGAAAGAAGAATGTGGGTGTTTGAAGGTGAAGCTCAGACCTGACCACTAATATAACAGTTGTATTTCCCAGGATAGTGACTATAAAACATAGCATAAAAAAAGAGGAAAAAAATCTCTATCTGTTGATCATTGGAGAGTCCTAACAGGATAAACTCTGTTATTCCAGTTTGGTTTTCCAGCCCAAAGTATTCAGAAAACAAAGGATCTATCAAAAAGTAAAACAGTTAATTATGCAATAAGTAATAATGCATGCATATTTAAATTAAACATACATATTACTTTAAGCATCACATTTTGCTTAAGATCCATATTGAGAATTATAATATATCTTACTGAATTTTTTTTATATCTATCACCAAATTGAAAATTAAGTGTTGCCTTTCTCACTTTAACATTGTACTTTGTTGATTGTTATGATGTTTTGATTCATTAATTCATTGGTTACCAGTCTTTACTGTGAATACCATGTCACAATTCTAAAGAAAATGAAGGAGGAGCCAACACCACCCCGAGACGACATGATATCACCACCAACACTTTTGCTCCTGGGTGGTCCAAACGGACCTAAACCATCCCACAGAGATGGTGAACGGGAAGAATACATTCTGTTGATCTCAGGGACATGGCAAAGTCCCTGATCGATCCAGGAGAAGTTCTTCTAGCTGGCAACAAAAGCACAGCCCCTAGGCTGATAAAGTTGGGGTGGCTCCGAAATTGAAGGATACAGAAAGAGAAAGTGTTTTCAGCTGGTGAGGAATTTTTACTGTTTTAAAAAGAGACTGCCTACAAAAAACTTAAAGTTAATTTAAATTTGAGAACAGAAGAAATAAGCAGCAGAATTAAGCTTTGAATGGCTTTGGACAGTGTATTTATGCAAGCCTTTTAAAATGAATGAATTAAGTTTTCTTCTATCTTTTTTAAAATTATTTTTTGCTACCTATGGACTAAAATTCTCCTTCATTACTGCATGTGTTTTTCCCTTTTTCTTCTCTATTTCATTCAAGAATTTGACTTTTTAAAACTTGGAATATAAAAAAGATACAAAAGGAAACAAAGAAAATTGTAACAACAGAGGGAAATATAACACTGCTACTCGGAGACTGGAGGTTTGTGTATTGGAAACAAAACACTTTTACTTTCCTCACTGATTATTCTGGCTTGGCATTTCAAGATCCCACTGTTTGTTTATAGAGAGTGAAAAGAAGAAAAGCATACAGATGTTCCTTTTTCTGTATTCCACTCTTTCCATTTCCAGACACAAACCAGTCACCATAGATATCAGCGGATTTAATTTCTTTGTGGTCATTTTTCTCTTCGTTTTTTAGGACTCTAACCTGCACTTTTTCCACTTGATAAACATCTCCAACTTCATCATATTTTACTGTTAGATGCTCTAGATTTTCCAACTTCTTCTCGGTCCTCTCAAATGTGTTTGATGATTTCTGAATTTTTAACAATATCTTTTGCAAACTTAAAAGTTTCTTTCTGCTGTTGAGATTGTACCATTA